AGTTACGGCCGTTCCACTTAAAGTCAGTCTGTATCGTAGTTGTGCCAAATTGAATCGAGTGAATGTGTCAGCGTTCTGATTTGTTTCATAATCGGGACAATCATCGGCAGATGGGATTGCGACGTGAAGCAAGCTAGGAATCTGAACAAAGCAGCAATAATGAGGCTAATTTGTGTGTAGCAACCAGGAGAATGAACGTGATGAATACATTGATTCATGTCGGCTGGTAAGACCGCGAATTTGGACAACCTAATGGAGACGCACAGCAACCATGTGAATTCAATGTATGCAAAAAGCATGACAAAGCTATTCGCGATCGCTCAGATCAAGGCAGACGGACAAAGCGGCAGGAACAAAGGAGCGCTCAATAAGCCCGTGTGAGTAGTGGCTTAGTGGTTGTTGCCGTACAGTGAGGCATGGGGCAACACGGTGGAGACAGAAATTCGACTAGCAGTTCGCTGACATGCACAGAATTTACTGGAATGTATAATTCACTGTGTGGAGGAATAAAAGAGACGTGTGTTGTCTCGCTTTGTCAAAGAATAAATAATAAATACTGATAATGTGTCAGTTGTATGCCGTAACGACGCTTAGCCGCTGCGCGACCACCAGTCGCGCGCAGGCTGAGTATAGCGCGAGGACGCCCAGCCCTATGCGGATTCGAACCGGTGACTTTATGATTGCAAGCCAGACGTGCAGACCACTCGGCCATCAGCCGACGCTTTGTCAAGTACAGTTAAAGCACTTAGCCGCAATGGGTAGAGTTGCCCTGCCTCCCACCGTCTGAGAGATAGAAGCCAATGAGGGTAGATAAAATTGCAGGTGAAAAGGCAGAAACGATGCATGTCTCAAGGTGAAGAGGACAGGTGAATGAAAAAGCCCTATAAACCTACAAGCTGTTTCCTAAGATACTGCATAATAGGTTTGACTAGTCCACATAGGGACAAGGAGCTTTTTAACACCGACCTAAGTACGTAACTTTCGCCGAGACCAGACTGTGGCTGAGTAAACTGTGATAGGCGAGAGGGTGCATCCTCGTCCAGATATGGATCCAGTTGACTAAGAGCGCCTCAAGTGTGTCATCCTCGAGCCAAAGCGACGAAACGGTGACAGAGAAACAAACATAAGTATTGCAAAGGTTCCGTGGCTGCAACACGAACGCGAATTAGGATAAATCGGTTGCGCACTCTTCGGGCACACCCGGTAGCGCCTACCGCTGCTTGCATGTAGACTTCACAAACGTTTGTAGTCTTATGAACAAGAGCGAAGATGCTGTGCCACCGTTGCTTCTGAGCGACCAGATGTAGTGGGACTAGCAAAGACGTGGTTGAGCGATGAAATACTCACCCAGGAAGTTGAACTTAGTGGATACTCGTGCTTCCGCTGTGATACGCCATCGACTGCCCATGGTAGCATCGTGCTCTACATACGATCTTCTCGGTGTGGGAGACTTGTGAGCGCCCATCGAAGCGAAGATGGTCTATGTGAGTAGTTGTGGTGCACGACCTACCGCAAGCGCGGAGTTATTCGAGGGTACATTTTATTGCAGTCCTCTGAACCGTTGGTTGAATTGGTTGTCGCATCTCCGTGACCACAAGAGTCGCCCCCATTTTCTACTCATGAGCGATTTCAATTGTGTCTTTGAATACGCTGGCCTGAAGTTCAAGTTACCACTGAATATTGTGAGGCTGAAGCAAAGCTCGCTGAAATGATATTGGAAAGTGGAGCAGCACAAAACGTCTACCAACAGACGCACATAACATCGCGCTCAACTCCATCGTGCTTAGACATTATATTAACTAGTTGTGAACAGCACGCTTATGAATTCGGATCCTGGACCCTCTGGCAGCAAATGGTCACTCAGTTCATATTGCTAGTCTTCACCGCCTATGGTGGCGGCGCGACATCACTCTCACCCTGAAGGGTAGAGTGTACAATGCAGCGGTACGCTCGACCTTATTGTACGGTTGTGAAATCTAGCCCCCTTAACTCAGCGGACATAAAGAGGCTAGTTACGTTCGACCATCGGTGCCTTCGCAGTTTGGCTCACATTTGATGGGATGACCGCGTGAGCAACGAGCGTGCTCGACGTCTTCTTTACGACACAGGAAAAGGAAATGAACCGCTCAGCACCGTCATTTCACGTACCAGGCTCCGATGGCTTGGCCACGTGTTGCGCATGCCAGCCCACCGGCTTCCACGCCGTGCGTTGTTTGCTCACTGGGGACGTGGATGGAAGAAGAGGAGAGGTGGCCAAGCGATGACTTGGTCGAGAGGAATAAACGCCTTCACTTCCAAGCTGGCCTCGGTTGGAGCTTCACGGCTCCCTGGTTGGGGTCCAAAAGACAATGAACACGTTTGGCTAGATACACTTGTCGACATGACTAGGAGCCGACTTCAGTGGCGTTCCTGCTGTGAGTTTCTTTGTCCCTCCCCATCCCTTTTAGCCTCCCCCTCCACCTACGATCTCATTTCGTAGTATAATATAATGTTACAAAAGTAATTTTGCTTTTTGCCTAGTAGCCGGCTGCTAGCTTTCCGGAACGATGCCCATCCTTTGCAGGTAACTCAGGTGGCATGCAACTGTTGTAGTTATTTTCTTTTTCTTTTATGTATTGCGGCACAGTAGCTGAGGTGCATTACACCTCTAGCTAACGTATACTGATGATGAGGGTGATGATGATGATTGCCCAGACGGAGCTGCCGCTACAGCAATCCCCCGCACTGTAGCCAGCTTACAACTGCTAGAAGATGAATTTCGAAGATCTGACACAAGCCGCGAGCCAAATGGATTGGGCTCTATCTCAAGCTGCATCCATTAAGTTTACAAGTCAGTTATAAAGAATGGAGTAAATTCGTTGTGTAGCCGATTTGTGCCTCTCAAGTGTCGGTAAGTAGGGGACGCTTAGGCCACAGTGGTTCCACAAGGAATATGATAAACTGGCTCGGCGGCGGCGAAAACTGTGGGACAAACTGGACTGGAAATCCATGTTGGAGTACACGTTGTGTGGTTGGATTGCGACGCGCAATGTAAATGCAGACCGCGACTCATACCGAAGTGAAGCTTGGGCAATGCGATCATTGGGATCATAGCCGAAGCAGATGGGAATCGGGTGTTGCCCTGTGGGACGAATTCCTTAGATCTGGCACGGTCGACGATTACAAGGTGTATAAAAGGCATTTAAAGAACTGTGAAAACTAGTAGGCGCCAGTAATTCGAAGGGCAGCTTGCAACCGCCGCAATGACCGCCTGGAAAAAAGCTTTGCGTGGGTGAAGCGGCACTTCAAAATCGTCACGTGACATACCAGTGATAGAGGACGCGGACGGACAGCCCCTAACCTATCACATGGTATGTCCTGTTTTAGCCAACACCCAATAACTCGCCCTGTTACACTGAAATCATCTGCTGGAATTCAGCAAGCTGAATCTACATACCGATATTCAGCAGCTGGACAGCTAGCGACCGAGAATGTTGCAAGCAGAAGCCTCCTGCATACCGCATGATATCAGAAATCTTATTCTGACGAAAGTCGATTACCTAAGAGAGAGAAGGCAAAAACATAATTCGTATAGCATCGTGGTTTATTGCACTGCCTTGAGGTAAAGCAGCTGCTCGGTATCCGACAGATGGGATTTCGTGCATCATACTTCAGCAAAGGACAATAAAAATCAGCAATGGATAAAGGTATGCTCAGGGTGGAAGGCATTCCAAAAGGAGTGGTAGGCCATGATGAAATCACGCCACTTGAAGCTAACAACGATGTGATTCAGCCAGATCCATCGCTAGTCAGCAACCGGAAGACGTCGATTGATGTATCAGTGTCCACTGTCTTAAACCGGAGTCACTTGGAGACAACTGATGTTTGGTATGTAACCTCAATGAGAGTTCAGTATCATCTTTGCATGCGGAATAAGGTCAACAGATAAAGTGAATGAGATTCTGAGGATCTCAGACGATATGCTTAAGCATCCATACTCTCGGCAACTGCATCACAGCATCTGCCGTACGCCGGCACGCAGTACCAACGTTTCTATGCCGCGCAACCACCATCAGTCGCGCGTGAGCTAAGGATACTACGAGGGTCGCGCGGTTCCCTACGCAGGCTCGAATCCGCGCCCCTGGATTACAAGGCAGGCTTTTGATCCTTAAGACCATGGGCCGGCAACTGCAGTCATGTGTGGACTGACAGTATGATACACAGCAGGTTACTTTAGTAACAGAAAGTGCCTATGATAGCGCCAGGATTGCAGGTAGTTGGAGCCTATGCCTAAACCACAAACAACTTAAGGTAAGTTTACCGGAAACATGCTTTAGTCTGTGGATAATACCCTCCGGTGGTGGCACAGATTGATCTTGTTTTTCGCGTTTGGATAAAATGAATCTGGTTTGATGGTCCGGCCCACAACGAAATGAAGTGCAGGTCCAACTCGATGAGATCACTGTAGGGTCCCACGTGGATCTGATTACTACTGGTTGCAGATTGTGTCAATATGTGTAAGGTCAGTTGCACATGGCGTTCGACTACATCATATGGCATTTGTGAAGCCACAATCAATCGGACGCAACCTTTGATGACTTGCATCCAACTGGCCGAAAGCTGGTTTGCGTGGGGCCGGTGGTAGCAAACTAGTGACAAAAGATATGGTCTCTCACCGTCCGAGAAGGATCGTAGCGAGGGCGGCCTGAGCTGCAAATACTGAGCTAAACAGCACTCTTACAGTAGTCCCCGATGGACATAGACCATTCAAGAAATTCTTGTGGGGAGGATGTTGAGGTCAAGTGTTCCTTACCCCCCCTATTACCGACATGTACAGTGTTCGTAGTTCTAAAGGTACTTGGAGGGTGTTATCCAGAGTAGTTCAACGAATTCTGGTGATATGTAAACCATCACAGCAATTTGAGGTGCATTTCCACCAAAATGGAGTTAAAGAGAGGCGTTTGGATAACATCAAGGGAAACGACAAAACAATGGGCCGGGATGGTATCCTAGCAACGTACCATATACCTCCAGACGTCGCTGAGCTGAATTGGCTGCATAAATGCAGAACCAGTCACCACGGTCTGACCAAGAGACGGAATTAATGAGAAGCTTGTATGTGGTGGCTTTTTGCCAATCATTCGGATCACATTCCAATTGATACATGTTCTTGTCGTACGCCTGACACTTTTCTGAAATACCCTTTTCATTACGCTTGAATAACACGGCATATTCCAGGGGTGAATCCAGTCCCTTGAGTTGGCAGGTCAGAACGACTTTTTGGCCAATATACACTGGCTGCTTTACAGGGAGCATATACAGGGGGGACCGGATGGAGGCTCCGACTGTGCAAACAAGGAAAAGAAATGATAGTGGTTGAGTACCGGCGAATGCAGTGTATCAAAACCAAAAAGTGACCAGTGAGACGAAAGTAAAAAACGGTGCTAAAGAACACATTTGATAGCTTAATTAATGCACGCCCTGAGATGAAACAATCTAAAAAAATATAATACGATTCTATGGACCTCTAGTTGACAGTAGATAAGAAGAATAAAGACAAGAGAGGATCTTGTGTGAATATTCTACCCAGAAGGCCGCTGTAAAGGTGAGCAACCCGCAATACAGCCGCACGAGCTTAGCTTTCAATGGTTGGTGTGTGCCTATGGTGAAAATGAACGATCCGAGACAAGGATGACGCTACAAGAGCGGCTGGATGATAGCATAACAAGTACTGTAAATTCGAAACAGTCGAGAAAATCAACGCTCAAAAAAGCGATCGCCAGAAGAGCACTAAAAAAAGCAAGCGAATCGGTTACCAACCATATAGAGGCTCTCACTGCTTAAATAAACTCGGATAAACTTTCTGCTGGTTAGCAGTTGAAAAACGACTCATTAAAAAGTAGGAGATATGCTGTTTTGCAATGTTCAGTCAGCTGTTTTCATCCGCGCACGTTCGCGTAAAGTTGTAGACGAATTTCCCGGATATAAAGTTTACCGTTCAAGCTGCGAGTCAGTGCAACTTGGTGAAGTCGATGCAGTCAAGTCAGGAAGGCAACCATAAGCAATGTGTGACACTTGAGAACCGATAAGTCAAAGGACCAATGAACATGGTGAGTTAAAAGCTGATGAAAGCGAAATTCATTCGGGTAAGATCAAGTCCAAGAATAAAAGGCAAATGAGTAAATAAGTTATCTAGGGAGATGGCCAATACAGTTCGTCGATGGAAAAAAAACGGGTGATGTGGAGTTTAACAATTTGTGTTACAATCGATGAAGTAGTTCAAACAATCCACCACGGTCAGCGAACTAGAGCCCAGCGAAGTTATTTATATTGGATAACAGTATCACAGGGCAGACATAAAGTCAAGTTAAAGCAAAAGAGCTGAAGTGATAGGCGATGCAGAAAATGTAGGTTCACCACTAAGAAAGTGAATGCGCCTTATCCGATGGGTTACGAACGTCGAGAGTTCGCTACAGGGAGGTGAACACACAATCCCACAAATAGTTGCTTCGTGATACGTAAACAAATAGCTACTTAAAGGTTAGTCGAAAACGCACAACCACTACAAACAGTGCACAGTACGATTCGAATGCCCTAACCGATGTCAGCCCTTCAAATCGGGTGCTCTAGTAGGAAAACATAAATTCTCTTCAGAGTCCAAATGGAAATCTTACTCATCTACAGTAAAGCGTTCGACAAGGTGGACCATGAGGAACGCGTACACAAACTGAGGGTGTGTAGTGTTGGTGGCTCATTGTATCAGTGGAGCAGCGAATTCCTTATTAAGCAGAAGTGGAGAGCACAGGAGGATGATCGTGTAAATGACTGATATCCCTTCACCATTAGGGTATCTTAAGTCATAATACTGCGACACAATTTGTTCCTAATACACATCAACGAAGTACCTCAGCTTGCTTGCAAACGACCCAAAAATATGGCGAGGAACTGATGCTCCCGAGGACTGCGACGTATTTGAGTATGACCTCGAGTGCCTGTCCATATGGTTTGCAGATGTCGATCTCCCGGTCAACTCAGTCAAGTCGTTATTCATGAGTCTGTGGTAGGATGGTAATGGGTGTACGTACACTCTGGCCTGCCAACCGCAACATCCCATACCTTCCGTGAAGGATCTGGGCGTACTCTCACGCTGCGATTGGAAGTCCGTGAACAACACCGCAAGCCATATGGAAACGGACTACGCATGCTTTAGATGCGCTCAAACGCCGCTTCTGCGCTTCGTCTGAAAGGATTACCACTTGCCTCTTCCCTTCCATCATAAAACGAATGCTCGAGTACGGCTTACTCGTCCACTGACCAATTACCCGTGGCGAGGTGTAAAAACTGAAATATGTTCAGCATGCATCTGCTAGATTCATCTCCAATTTACGGGGTGTGTCGTAAGAAGGCCGATGCAGGAGACTGGGACTGTACATCCTGTTGTATCGTCGGCTTCGAGTGAACCACATAATAACGCACCGGATATTACATATGTGTGACTTTCCTGTGCTGAGACGGCTTTTACACGTGAGTGCACCAAGTAGCACCCGATGGCATCGGTATAATGTGGTACCGGACCTGAAGCGGAGTGATGGAATATTGGAACAGTTTGCCCGAAACAACAGTCGAGACAAAGCGGTGTCATCATCATCATCAACAGCAGTACATCAGCCATTTGAACTGATGCTTCGCCGTCATACAACTATGAGGACCTATGAAATAAGGAATAAGAAGAGGGAGAGAAGGGGAACTTACCTGAAAACCTTAATGCCCTAAGCAATCATTCAGGGTCAAGGCGCCTACACCTTGTGTAGACAACATACCGTCGCAAACAGCTGGCTATCGTGCAAAGATAAGGCGGCATCGACGACATAGCTTCCTTGCGGCTTTCACTGCCACGCGTCATAATCAGCCATAGTGTCAGAATTCAAGAAATTCGTAGACGCCCACTTCGCGAATTCCGGAAGCGCATCACGTCGCATCTGAATGATAGGATGTCGCACAGTCGAACTGCATTGATAGTATGCGGCAGTAAATAAGGTTATTCCGCGTACGTATCCGATATTATATCAATGGAGTAACGTAGGTGTATGTGTTCAAGCTTCCAATTTTCAGTATTCCGCATTTTGTTGTTATCCGCAGGAAGTGACTCTGACCAGCACTATAGCATTCTGCACCATGTCACAATCAGTAAACGCATATTCCTACAATCCTCATAGGTGACTGGGACTTTGAAAGTCCACGTGAGTCCTATTAATGGAGAAAAAACAACTAGAAAATTACTTGGAGTGAGTGCGCAAATCAAGTGGAAATCGGTGTTGTGACGATCCAGTGCTTCCACCACCAATTATTGTGCGAAGAACATAGGCAAGTGCATGGAAGTCCCCGTCAGTAAACTTATCACGGCTCATAGCAATAACCCTGTGTTTCAAGTAAGTGCGGTGATTTACTTACTCCGTGATTCATTGAGCTACGTTGGGCAGCACTTTTCAATTGCCTTCAGAGCCACTTATGCTACACAGACCATTTATTATTGACTAGAGTAACAGCTTGAGTATTCCATTTTGAGGATTGTGGGAAATCAATGGATAACTTGCAAAACTTAACCACAGGAGACATCATGACTGAGTTGAAAAAATCAGTTTGTTTGTTATAGAGTAAGGGGACCATGAGTTGACTCTGCTTGCGAGAGAGCACCACTCGTGCTCAATAGCTTGCTGCTGTCCGCTCAAAGCCAGGCATTCCGTAGTCAAGGTGTGAACCAGCTAATTCCCATTTGCATTTGACCGTGGTCACAAGCACATAATCTACTACGGTTGAAAACATAGGATATATTTTAAATATTCCAAAGCTGTGCGTGACTAGTCTCGGGTAGATCCTAATGGGACTAGTCAGTCATACTCCCGAACTGAAGCGAAGACTCCGAATAGAGAGCTTCAAGTAAACTTCCATTTAACCCACTGTATCGTGCAGTGGACTGCTGAGTCAAAGGCTTGAGGTGAAACAACTCGAACAGGGTCTCCTTGCCGAAGTTGGTAGCAGGAATATTGATTGTTTACAAGATCGCGTCACTAAAACGCTATTATTGGTGCTTCTCTTCTCACAACTCCCTTCGCAAGTCAATGAGCAAGAGGCTGAAAATGATGTCCCGGTTGATGTTCGCCGTCATAGCAAAGGCATCATCTCACACTGATCTTTTCAACGTTCATACTCTACGTCAACTAGGTCAATGGCCAGTGCTAACTCCCAGTCAATTTGCTTGGAATCGATGTGCTGTAGCTCTGGTACGTACATAATATAGCAGCGTCGCGAGGGATCTTCGAGTAACTAGTTCAGAGCCTGGCAACAATGAGCACATTGTTCATGTCGTTGAAAAAACCGAGTTGATGACTCGAGGCATTCATGAGGCCGATACTGATTTAAGTAGACATGATGAAAACAATTATGTAGACCACATGTCGGTAAACAGTCGCACGTGTGTTGTTCGAATCTGGACCTACATAGGGGTTAATAAAAACAGTCTAAGAACAGATACCTTTTAATCGTTTCGGTATATGTCTCAACCGGCTTAAGCTCGGAGAGTATCATACACAATTTTTATTGGCAGCCCTCGGCTCTTATCAGTGTCAAGTGAGAAATAATTCCCGGAGATGATATAAGAAACAGAAAGCAGCGAACAAGCTTGTTTACAGGGCTTCATCATCAGACTAATACAACCACAATAAAGCAAGCTAGAATAGACACAATGGGTTTAAATTGGGTCACTGAAGCAGGGTAACTAATCGATAAGTCTACGTGTTTGGTCTGATTGAGGCGAGGTCAAGTGAAGTAGCGTGACTGTCACTGTTAGTCGCGTTAATCTGAGGCCAAGGCAAGGTTAAAGTATGGACGAGTTTTTCTGTGCACATAGGTCTGGGTTATAGAGCCGAATTGCGATCGCCTCTGTTGTCGACAGCAGGCGACATCTGACTGCCCGTGTGTAACGTCCGGGGACACAGTAGATCGGTGTGAATGCGTCACGCGAAGAATACGGATATCACTGTTGCTAGTGACGCGGATACTCAAGTGAGTTTGAAATGAATTGGAATATTGGTAGCTCGGGAGGCTTGCTCAGTTGTTGTGGAGTTCTTCGAGCTGGGCAACTTGGTTGCAGACGTTTCGCCACCATTCGAGGTGGCATCTTCAGTGCGGGATTGATAGCAGTGAAGTAGCAGTAGCTGGTAGAAAGCAAACCCAATAATGGATACTGTCAGTAACCACTCCGTTCCTTATATAGGCCTATATAAGGAACGGAGTGGTTACTGACAGTATCCATTATTGGGTTTGCTTTCTACCAGCTACTGCTACT